CTATGACAGAATATATGGGAAGGATGTAGGCATAAAGTGACAGTTTGCATTTTCTGTGGATTTTCTTCAGTATTCATCTTACCCAAGAAGAAACACAACACTCCTAATGCTTTTTGATTTCATAATAATTTCTACGTCAAGTAGCTGTAGAAAAATTTTAACTGTTTTGTAATGTGAATTAAGGCGTACAAAGCAGGAGCAGATGACACTTCAAAATTAAACTAGAAAACATTTTTAAGGAGAAAATTAAATCTAAAAAATGAGCTGGAAGCAAAGTATCATCAAACAACACTTATTTTTAGATTCTGAACAGATGTTAAGGAGTACATACTCCATAAAGAATATACTTAACTGCTGCTTATTTTCCTACTGATATGACTGGCACAAATGTGGCTTCACCTTCATGATTTAAATTTTCAAATTATTTACAGAAACATTGTCAGGTATTTTTAAACTGTAACTTTGCTCTGCAGTCTCACGAATACTTGCCAGTACCTGAAGCTTTATAATCCTCATTTCTTAATGCTGCTATAGAAGAACATCATCTAGATCAGACTCAAACATTACTTCTTCGTAGAATAGTAATCTGCAATATTTTTTTCCACTTCATTTCTTAAACTATCAGTAGCATATAAAATTTGTTTCTTTATTTAGTTTGGCAGAGAGAGTCCTAACATACACCAAAACTAGATTTTCGTGTTGTAACTCAAAATCTAAATCAAAATATCTTGATTCCACAAATCTTTATTTCTGATGTGGCCAACTTTTATCAGTAATTGTTCATCTTTAACACTAAAAGCAGTACTGGTGCTGCTGCAATGCAAAGAGGTGACATCAAGGTGTGTGTTAATAAATTACAGTAAATGTGGCATATTTTTTCTTTAGCGTTTACCTTATTTCTGGTCTAATTATTTTTCTGCTGCTTTTCCATTACAGGAGACTCAGCAGATATGTCAGGTAAGGGAAATGTTAAAATTTTAACATCTTCAGATGTAGTTAGCATATCTACTAGGTGTCTACAGCTTTATAGAGCAAGAAGTGACGTGAATTCCTTTTTAGTTTATTAAAACCTTGTATCATTCATATTACTGTCAGCAGCTGAGTATAAACCACAACAAATTGTAAATAAACAAACAATTAAAAAGTTAGAACACATTTAAAAACCATGTTGTGACATATTCCCTTCTTGCTGCCACGTGATTAGTGAGTTCTCATGCTTACTGCTGCTGTAGTATTCCTGTGTACACTTACAGGTTTTATGGCCATGTTGGGGCTGACAATGTTTGGCTTAAATGCTCAGTTGAATATAACTTTAAATATGCATTCCTAAATTAAATTTCACTTGGGAGGCCTAGGTGACTGAGTGAAAAAAACACTCACCTTTCACATTTATGTATGGTTGTCATGCAGCTATTACCACTGATCCAAAATGCTTGTTACGATGTCAGTTTAATTTTTTTCTGTATCATTTTGGGTCTTTGACAGTTTGGCAATCTTCAATGAGCTATTTTTTATTAATATGTTGGGTTTTTTCAACTGTAATCTAAAAATTCATCACCGTTATGTGTGAATGAGTTCATTGTTGAGCAGCCATAGTTGTCTTGTGGCACATCTTCAGAGGTGCATAAATGTGTGTTCGTGTGTCTCTAAGCAGTATGATAACCGTCATGTGGATCTAAAACTTGTTCTGTGAAGAACAAATGTACAATGGCCTTTTTAATGTGTGTTGACTTCTTTTAAATATGCCAAATTGTGCTTGCTCTAAGGATGGGAGGAAGACTATAGGTACCTTTTCCCACACTTCTAAACTGTATAAAAGAAGCAGTGATGATATGGTTGTTTATATGAAAGAACATCTCTAGTCCTGCATATAATGCCTGGAGACTTTCCCCCTCTCACTTGTCTTCTTCCTACTGCAACTTTAGTTTGAGCTTGTGTATGTTATTAAATTTTGTTGTCACTGCCTGAAACCAGCACTCTTACTTTTTTCTTCTTTATGGAACCATTAGTCTGGAATCCAAGCTGCTGCCTGCCTTCATTAGAAAGTTGTGTAGTTTCACTTAAAATTTATCAATGGCGATTTGGCACCTTTGTTACCAGCAACTTTTGCTTTTCTAGTTCAAATTTTCTGTTGTCTACAGCGATGCAGGGATTCTTTGAAGCAGTAATGTTTGTAATAGATTGGAATGGCAAATTAAGTTTCATAATGACTTAAGACATAAGTTTTGTTTCATCTTACTGAAGATATTTTGTCCTGCCAGTCCATGGTAGCTTTATCTAACTTCTCCAAGAAGGAGATGACACCTTAGAAAATCTCTCTTGTAAGAGCAGAGGTTGAGCAGCTGGAGTACTCCACAAGCAGGATGCAATGTAAGGACAGAGACTTTTGGAAGAGCACTACCAAGTCGGAGGACTCAAAAGTCCGTATTCTCTGCCCTGCAAATTGTACTCTGGAAGGTTCTGTCAGTTCTTATTTATGAAATTGAGGTGAAAGATTCTGTCTGCCATCCAAAACAAAAAAATTTGGCGAAGGTTACAGGGGAGGTGCGCAGGTTAAGGGCAATGCAGAGTTTTAAGAAAGAGGGTGCTGAAGAAGAAAAATAAGTTCAGAGCCATAATAAACCTTTCCTATCCCTCAGCTTTTGATAAGGACAGCAAGGAGTTTGCTGACAATTTTGAGACATTCCAATTGTTGTCAACCCCTGCCCTTTCTGTTTTCATGACATGTCTATACTATGCTGTAATACCTCTCAAAAAGTGATAATAACAATATACTGGTGCTATGAGAGGATATTCCAACGGGAATGAGAAGAAATTAGGAATACTCTTCTAAAGACTGCTTTGGAACAGCTGTGGAATTGTGCTCATAAACTTAGTTTCATATGGCTAAAATTTCATCTAGATCCCTGTGCCTACTATTTCCCATACGTGTGCCTTTGAGGGACTAGACTTAGCTGATGAGAAACAAGAAACGTGGTGATGAAATGGAATTGAGTTGATGTGAATCTGGGTATACAACAATAGCCAGTAACCTCCAGACTCTGCTGGCAGATTTACTAAAGATCAGAAGTAAAGAAGTTCAAGAGAGAAACTTACTGTCCTGGAAATGTCCTATGTGCAATTCAGAGACTGCAAACTATACATGGATTGCAAGATCTTTGGAGAAGGCATTGCGTTTGGAAAAGAAACAGCTGTCATCATAACAAAAATAATCACAAGCTTTAGTAGCATGGGAAGATGTTTCTTAATGCAAAGAGCTTACAGTCCAAACAATGCAAAATAAATTATACCCTAATTCTTGTAAATCAGTAAGCAAGCTGATTAATCAGCTGACATTCTCCAAAGAGAGCGTGCATTTCAGACAGATGGCCCTTCTGTAGAAAAGGAGATTTTGGCCTAGCACTGTAAACTAATTTCTGTGTAGCTATCAGTTGTCCAAGAGCCCCATGCAGAAATTATATTCTTGATGATCTACTCGGTATTAAAGAAGGGTTTTGTGTTCAGCATGCTGAGCTAAGTTTTACTGGGAGGAAAATGGAAGACAGCTTGCTTTCAGAGCTTTGGCTGTGCTTCAGGAGCCTGTAACAAGTTAAGCAAAGTATTCATATTTAGTAGCGTAACAATGCCAACTTCTTAGTCCTGCTTCATGGTCCTGTTTGCCATAAATTGGTTTCCAAAGGGAGGCCAAAATCTCCTTTCTTTTCTTTTTTTCCCCTGTACGACCAGAACAATTTTATTTGTCTTATTAAAAAATATTAACTTCTTCAATAAGCACATCGTTAGACTTTTTCATAATGTATACTAATTACATGTGTTTATATCTGTGTAGCTACAGCCCCTTCTATTCACGTGTGGGATGCAATGAACAAGCAGACTCTGTCGGTGCTGCGGTGCTACCATTCAAAGGGCGTTTGCTCCGTCAGCTTCAGTGCCACTGGCAAACTGCTGCTCTCCGTAGGGCTGGATCCTGAACACACCATTACCATTTGGAAGTGGCAGGAAGGTAGGAAAGTGATTGGTTTTGTAGAAGGTGTTTATATCGTTAGAGGTCTGTTGGCTCGAGTCAACAGCAACTGCAACATAAAAATACCAGCCGAGCAAACATTATTGCAATAAATGCAGTGCACTATGCACTGTACAAGAAGAGGTAGAATAAATGTACTTACTCATTCTACTAACTGCTAAAGATAGCTCCTTTGGAACTGTTGTGTAAACACCAAGATAGTTCACTGATTTCCAATTAGAATAATTAAAGAAAATGATAGTCTTTTTTTTTATTTCAGTAATTTCTTTGCTGCTTGGTAAAAGCTACTTATAAAATCTTTTTTGCTCCCAGAAGAATTTTTTTATTCTTCTCTGTTCCTATTCTTCTCTGAAGTCTGATTCTACTTCTAAAGTTATCCCCTAAAAACTGCAAATTGCAGAAATGTGATGCCAGTGCAGCTCCTCTGTGCAGCTACGTAATTGGTGTCTTAAGCTATACTAAATATTTTCAGATTGGTTTTGATCCAAGTTCAGGATTTGGGCTGAAGTGATTTGATCAGCTCCCTTCCTTCTCTGCTTTTTGGCTGGCAAAGCCATACCCAGATTATAAAACTGATTCGCTAGTCTTAGGAGTTTATTCCCTCTCTCTGTGGAGATTTCTGTTGATCAACTATTATTGGAAGTTTAAAGATCAGCTATTGAGTTAATAAAAAGTGATCCTTCACTGCTTGTCTGCTAGGTCCTGTGGAGCTGGACAGAATGTCAAATGTGTGTTTTTACAGTCTTAGGTAATGTGAAGGATTTCTGGTAAAAGTCTATGCAGTGAGTCACTGATGTTTCAGTCAGAATCTGCCTGTGATCGTTCTTAAGGGTTGACAGAGATTCAACATGGCAGCTAAGGATCTAGATCAAGGAATCTTTGTATGGGTCAAAATGTTTGATTTTGACACCTCTGAAGCATTACCTTTGAGTCTGAGACTCTGTGTAACAAAGTCAGTTTCTGTGTTTTCTGCAGAAAGAAAAAGTTTCCTAACTCTGGACAAAATTTGCAGACAAGTCATTCATTAGTCTCATGTAATTTGACCAGAGTTTGGGATTTTCAAAGGAGTTGTAGGAATTTAAGAGGAGATGGAAACTCACTTGGATCTGAGTTCCTAAATCTTCTATACTCCTGAGGAAACTGAACATTAAAAGTAGATGATACCTTCATCAGATGCTACACTTTGCGACTGGGTCTTATTAAATTATTTTATTTACTTATTTATTTATTTTTTAATCTGCATCTTAATTTAGTTTTAATTTAGGAGAAATTTGTGCTTTTCTTCCTGACCTGTGTGGCCTTGGGTGACTCATGATTATCTTTTTTTTTTTTTTTTTAAAATATTTTAACCATAAATGTGTGTTTTTTCTCAGCAAATTCAAAATGTCCATTTGCTTTCTGCCAGGTGCCAAAATTGCGAGCCGAGCTGGTCATAACCAGCGTATATTTGTAGCAGAATTCAGACCAGATTCAGATACTCAGTTTGTTTCTGTGGGAGTAAAACATGTGAGGTTCTGGACGCTGGCTGGAAGAGCTCTTCTCAGTAAAAAAGGGCTTCTGAGCTCCATAGAAGATGCCCGGATGCAAACAATGCTATCTGTAGCCTTTGGAGCGGTAGGTACCCTAACAAACGATTTTAAAATGCATACAAACAAAAAATGTTTGCCTCTTCTGCCTTTATTCAGTTCAGTGATAATTTCTAACCTCTAGTTAGTATGTCAGTTGTTTTACCAAACTGTTTAGTATTTCTAATACTTGCCTGCTAGCTAGAACTAATACCAGCTTTCTTCAGAACAGAAAAGTAAAAACTTTATGGATTTGTATGTTTTTAAAAGAAACAAACATAGGTGCTTTGGACTGGCAATATGCTTGTTTGGCATTTAATCCCTGTAAAACAAAGCTGACTCTAGACTGCAGGAACCAAACAGTAGAAATGGAGCTAATTTTATGCCCACCTGGGGGTGGCTGTGTCGTAGTCCACATACATTGTTGCTCCTGGGTGATCCGAGAGCAACGTTGTTCTGAGGTGTTGGTGAACATCTACGACTATTAGGACTGCAGTAGGGTTTTGTTTTGCTTTGGGTTTGCTTTGTTGGTTTTTTTTTACAGATGCAGGCCTTATTGTTCAGTTCCATGGCTTTGCTATTTCAGGAGTTGCTCTGTATGAGCAGCACTCATCTCTTCAACTGGGCAGATAACCATAGATGTCTTTTGTGAAGTGTTGCTTCTCTTCTGTTGCATTACTGTCCCACTTGCCAATCTGTCCAGACTGAATTTATACTACTGATTTTGATTTTTTGAAACTAGAACTGGCCTGTGGCTTCTTTTATCATGATCCCATCTCTTTTCCAGAATGCTTGCGTTCGCTCTCTCTCACTCTCTCTCTCTCTCTCAGGTGCCTCTGAGTTAACAGAGTCCTATAAAGCAACAAGATATCTTCCAAATTATATGAGATTCACAGACCAGGCGTTGGCCTGGGATTTGGGAAACCTCTGTGAAACTTCTTATGGAGGGGCACATTCTTAGTATGAAAGTCAGGCTTTATGCTTAGTGTCCTGGGCACGCTATGAGGCTGTTTGAGGATGCAAAGCTTGCAGGGGGTTTGTAAAAAGCTGTACAAAGTGAATAAAGCCAAACCTGGTGTTTTCCCATGCTCCTGTAGGGAACAGTTGTAGGAGTGCTTTTCTTCCTTGATTTTGTCTCAGAAGGAGCTAATTCAGGTGCTCCTGAACAAGTGTTTGAAACAGCCCAACACTTATACTGTAAGGACGATCAGAGGATCTGCTCCCAAGGTCATTTCCAGTCCTCTTTTATTTAGGCATTTGTTAGGGCATCCTCCCCAGCCCAACCCACTTAAAACAAGAACCTAGAACATCAACCCATCTCAAGTCAAAGAAAGTGTTCTTGTCAAATCCATGCATGTCTGCTGGTACTCTTAAGATGCTACAGGTGATACTGAATTTGAGGATTGTCCATGTACATTACTAAACCAGTTTTGCTCAATAAACAGTTCCTGCTGGTTTTAAGTGTATCCTAGCAAATTTCGCTTGAATTTCAGGGGTAATTGAATTTATTTGTGTTACCTTTCAAAACCCTAAAGCAGAAGTAAAGAGCAGGCAGCTTTTAGTTCCAGGTTTAGTGAAACTGTTTTCTTTATAAACTAATGGTCACTGTAATCTAGTTGGTACCTTCACTTAACAAGAATGACTGCAAGGGTAATGAACATAGCAACAGGGTGCAAATTGCCTCTTTGTGCAAAATATCAAAACTGTTCTTGGTTCTCTACTTTTTTACCACCGTTTGCACACCTGATAGGATGAAAACACAGATAACCCTCTGGCTGAAGTTTAAGTCATTGCATTTCTTTCAGTGTGGAGCTACAAAAAAGCAAGAAATAACGTAGTAGCTCATTGATTTGTCGTTACAGGTTCTTATTACCCCTTCCACAATTTTCTCTTCAGCAGCAGCAAATAAAAGCCATCTAACCTAAATGTAAATGATCATCATTATTTCTGAATGTTTTTCTTCCTTCCTTACTCAGAATCAGATGATGAGTGTGTTTTTTCCCCTTTCAGAATAACTTGACGTTTACAGGTACTATCAGTGGAGATGTCTGTGTTTGGAAGGATCATGTGTTGATACGAATTGTGGCCAAAGCTCACAATGGACCTGTTTTCACCATGTACACCACACTAAGAGACGGCTTGATCGTTACAGGAGGCAAAGAAAGGCCGTGAGTCTTCTTTTTTTCTTTTCTCTGCATGCACATGTATTCGTTGAAAATGGTTTGGATTCATCCCATCTAACACTAGGCAGTTGAGACATCAAACTAGAAGAGTACTCACTTTTGGATCCCTGAATAAGTGGTAGGGAAAAAAGTAGCCACCACCTCCAAAATGCAGGTAAGCCCACATGAGCTTCGAATACCTTTTTTTTTTTTTTTTTCATTGATTATAAGAGAAAGCCTAGAGTCACTGGGGTCCTGACCTGGGTGCTTTGCATAAGTACCTAAAGTAAAGGGGGATGAATCAGAATCTAAATGCTGTATCAGTATTCTTCATCATCGTAACTTGTAGATAAGTCATCTTTCCAAAATACACGTGGAAGCTTCTTCAGGCATTTTGTGAGGACTTTACATTATTTTGGTTAAAAAATAATTGGGAAGTGTAAGATTATATTGCATCATCAATTATACTGCACTGCATCAGTCAGGTAATGTTTCTGCAAGTACAAGTACACAGTTATCAGCGGCATGATGTAGTTCTCCTTAAGATGAAAAGGGCTGAACTGTTGTAATCAAAAGCAGCCTTGAAATCATCTGTCATGTTACTAAATGGTTTAATGGTATTTATCACAACCAATTTTTTTTTTTTAAGAGAAGGGAAAAACATTTATTTTGAAACATAACTTTAATCATTAAAAATTTACCTAGTCATTGTTGGGTTACTTCTTTTTCTGAAGCTGAACTGAGGTTGTTAATCCAAGTATTTTTCACAATTGTGATTAAATAAATATTATAATAAACAAACAATAAATATTGTAACAGCATAATGCACAGCTTCTTTTAAAGGAAGGACATGTTTAGTTACAGTGACAGAGGCAAAGTGTCTTTCAAATCTAAGGCACAGCAACATCCTTTGTTTTTAGAGTTGTAAGTAAAATGTTTCTTGAAACATTTTAATTTTTTCTTGCTAATGATAAAAGAAAAAGAAATGCTTCATCTGTAATACAGTCTGTCTGGTGACATGGCAGTGCTACATTTTGCAGGACATGAGCCACTTACCACCTCTTCCTTAAATAGTCCTTAAAGATCCTGGTTGATATTCAGACCCAGCTGAAAACTTACTTATTCTGTGCATGACATGTTTTCTTCTAGTATTTATAAAACATCATGTGATTTTATTTGGAGACTGTTCTGTCTACCATTTAGCTTCAGAGCCTCTTAATAGTTAGTATTTGACCTGAAAGAAATAGTAATGAATAACAGTAGAAAACATTACTACTTCTGTGGGAAAATGGAATATTGAAATCACACAAAACAAATTCTGCCTTTGTGAAAATTGCATGTTTTCTTCTGCCTTGGCATTCTTAATTACAATTCATCAGCCTCTTTTGATAAAATCTTTTTGTTGACTGTGATGACCAGTTGTATGTCAAAACAGTGCTATTGGAAAGCAAAGAATATTGCATTACGAGGACTAGCAATTTATAATTCATTGCAGTTCTTTTAGTAATAATAGTACAAAAGCAGTAATTGTGATTAAACTTTCTGGAGTTGTTCATCAGGTTTCCTTCAGCAATTAAAGTTGTAACACTGGCAGCTCAATATTGTGGAACATTGTATTTTCTTTTCCGTTGGGAGAGATTCTTTTCCCTTTGAAGATAGATGAAACATATCTGAGCTCATCTGGAAATGCCATATTTTAAACTGTTTCATTAAGCATTATATACTTTTTAAGAAGCTTCTCTTATTTTAATGTATTCTATACTGAAATACCAGTTCTCTTGAAAGGGGGTGGGAAATACTTAGTGCTTTCATGATTAATACTTATTAGTTGGGCATCTTGTGCAATGAACGTTGTGTGATTTTTCTCCTGTAACTGTCATCTGTTTCACAGCAGTGAAAGTTGTTAGATTTTCAGAAAAGTGAAAATCCTTTGTCATTTATTTCACAGTAGTAAAATAGGCACCTTTCCTGTTTCCCTCCACTATATTTTAATAATCTCTACCTATCTTAATAATAAGATATAAGTTTGTTCACACACTTAACTGTTCCTTGGACTAGGCAAATTCCCTGAGAACTGCTAGTTCAAACTAAGCAGTGAGCATCTTTCAACTTGTTCTGTGATATTCTAAAATGAAGACTTTGAGACAATATTTCTTGCTTAGCTAGGAGGCTCAGCATATTAACCTCACCTGTTCAGTAGAAACAAATGGAATATGTAATGATTCAAAACATACTAAAATGCCTCATTTAGAATACAGTAATACACTTCTTTCATACATAAATGGTATGTTTTGTCCGGGCCCTTTCACTCATGGTTATTCCTGATTTCTTCGTAGGTCGAAGGAGGGAGGAGCAGTCAAGTTGTGGGACCAAGAGCTGAAACGGTGCCGTGCCTTCCGACTGGAGACGGGGCAGATGACGGACTGCGTGCGCTCTGTTTGTAGGGGCAAGGTAGAGAGAGCATCTTGTCTTCAAAATAAAGCTTATCGTTTGTGGATTGATGTATAGCATTAAATCTGTGATAAAGGTCTTCCTTTTGTTCCTGTAATCGGGATTTGAAATTAAAGGTTGAGCTGGAAGGCCTCTACAATCAATTTTACAGCAGAAAAAAAAAAATCAACTTTGGGAGATCTTAGTCTTAATTAGAATAATATATCCTGCATATATTTGTATTAAAAACTAAGGGTTTATTTTCTGTTTTCTTTTCACATTTCAAATATCTGACTTAGAAATAATTCAGCCAGCATCATGATTTATATACAGCCTTGTGCTTTAATGCATCATGGACGACTTTAAAAATAAATTATCTTTCATTATTTTGTTACTTGATTTCAGTAAATGTTCTTGACAGAATGGCTTTGGATTGTACTTTTATTACTGCTCATCACAAGTCCTTAAAGTGCTATATCAAAGATATAATTCTTTCGCTGTTCTTCAAGGGGAAAATTCTCGTTGGGACAAGAAATGCTGAAATAATCGAAGTTGGTGAGAAAAATGCTGCATGTAACATTCTAATTAATGGTCATATGGATGGACCAATTTGGGGCCTAGCAACACATCCTTCCAGAGATTTTTTCCTTTCTGCTGCAGAAGATGGCACAGTAAGACTCTGGGATATTGCTGAAAAGGTAGGTGTTGTAAGATAGTTGTTGGTTATGAAATAAAAAATTAAAAAAATTCTAGATTTTTGGTGGTGTTGAGGACTTGAAATTTGTTTTTTAATATATTTGGAGAATAATCCATCTAATAGACGAACTGTTAGCATAAGGTACTTTTGAAATATGAACAGGTAGAAATATTTACTCTTCTGCGGTTTTATTTCTTCACAGAAGATGCTGAACAAAGTCAGCTTAGGACATGCAGCTCGTACTGTTTGTTACAGTCCAGAAGGCGATATGGTTGCTATTGGAATGAAAAATGGAGAATTTATTATCTTGCTTGTGACCTCTCTAAAAATTTGGGGGAAAAAAAGGGACAGAAGATCAGCAATTCAAGATATCAGGTCAGAAAATATAATGCCTCTGTCTATTGCAGTATTCTAGAAATCTGTATTATTTTGATGTTGAAAAATACAATTTTATGTTCTGAGGAGCATTGCCATGATATTTCAGAGAGCTGGAATCAATGAGTGAATTGTGGAGTTTGTGATTGCTCTGACACCAGGTATAAAAAAGGAAGAAGAAGGTATGTGAAGATAAGAGGTAGCAGTTGGTCATGAAACAGGCGGTGCCATAAGGGGAGTGTCAGATAATATTGCCAAGGATCAGTTAAAACGAAGAGTGAATGGGGAAGTAAACAGGCAATAGGAAGCGGCCATCCTAATTGGGGCAGATGAGAAGGTGTGGAAAGGAGCAAGATGAGATGAAGTGTGGGACATAAAATGAGATCAGAAGTTTACAGATGAAGACTGGATTGTGAGAGGGAATGGCAGTGCCTGTCTGTCAGTTTGCTATTTGTTGTGTTACGTTAGAAAGGAGTTAGCAGAAGTAAAATTTTGCTTTTGTGTCCTAAGTGAAGGACAAGACTTTTGCTGTGAGATAAATTCATTGTGATCAGCTAAGGGAAGCTTCTGGAGAGCAAAGTGGGATGATGTTGCTGGAGGAAAAGGCAAGAGAGCCCTCCTAGGAATTAGGTGTTTGCTGGAAACAGAAAGCTGTCCCAAAGTGTGTCTTGGAGATTACAGAAATAAAGTAACTTCCCTAGTAACACAAAAGGGTCTGTGTGGAATTTGTTCAGCTCAGGAACATACTGAGCTTCAAGACTAGAAAGGAAAACTGGAAGAAAGAAACCACTGCAAATATACACTGGGCAGATTAAAAGTTTGATTTCACATCTTTTTATTCAGTACTTTTCATCTGGAAGATGACTTTTCTTCATCTACAGTATTTAGTTTTTCTAGTCTGTATCCTTATAAGTATAGCATTAGTGAGCTGAAGTCATCAAGGGTGTGTCACAAAGTTGTTAAGATTGTTGAGATGGTAATTGGATCAGGTAATGAACAGTTACTCCAGAGGTGTTCCCAGTTCACTTATACGTGTCAACTGTACCAAAATTATTGCCACCTTCTATGCATATACACTCCCTGAAAATGTTGTTTCAAAAGCTGTTTTCCTTATCAGAGTAAATACTCTGCCTCCCTCCTTAGTTCTCAATAGCAGATACTAGAAATGCAAATTTACTGTGCTTCTCAAATTTTACAATATGTTGTAAGTGCCAGCCCATGTTCCAAAAGCCTTTTTATCTCTTCAGGTTCAGCCCAGATTCTCGTTATTTGGCAGTCGGTTCCAGTGAAAACGCAGTGGATTTTTATGATCTGACTTTGGGCCCCACACTAAATCGAGTCAGCTATTGCAAAGATATCCCAAGTTTTGTGATCCAGATGGACTTCTCTGCAGATAGCTCTTATCTCCAGGTATCAGTCATTAATTGTTCCAGAAACTGAATGGAAAGCATACTCATGACAGATGCTCTGCAAGTATTGTCATTTCACAACTGCTATAATTTGTGATGAATGTTTTAGTAGGTTACTGTCACCAGACTGTTACCTTGGTAACTTATCACTGTTGTAGTGAAAAGTAGGATGAGAAAAATAGTTGTCCTGGATATTAAATACAAGAAATAAGCATAAAAAAGCGAAACAGATTTCAAAATCACTGGAAGGTGTCTCCCTGCCTTTTTATTGCTGTAATACTGATGTGTTATCTTAAAAGAGGAAGGAGCACTGTCTGTCATTCTGCAAGCCCCAGAGACCTGTCAGTTCTTCCCATCTCTGAGCAGCATGGTAGCACACACATCGCTTCAGTGCCAGCCAGCATGGAGCAGCACCAAAACCCTGGGGTTACAACTCCAGCCACAGGGCTCCAGACATTTCTTAAAATCAAAATGAAGCAGGCGTGCTTTGCTTTCTGTATTTTGTTCACATCTGAGAGAAGAAGTAAGCTTCTCTCACTCTCAAGTCAACATCTGCAGGTTGAGAGGAACACCTTTGTGTCAGTTCTAAAGATGTGAGTTTATTTTGACTTATACACACACGTACTTACTAACACACACAATATAGACAGAGAATTAATGTGTGCAGAATGTGAGATGTTTCAGTTATTTATTAATTAGGCATTTTTAAATTTAAGATTTCTTATGCTTTTTCACTGTTGTTTTGTGCTTGTGTAGATTTTTGAGAATTTTCAACAAATTGAGAAAGTTCTATTAATAGCTAAGTTACTTACAGAGTTTTGTGTTTTAACCCCAGCCAGAAACTAAGCACCACACAGCTGCTCACTCCCTCCTCTCCGTCCCCCTGCCCCACGTTTGGTGGGATGAGGATAAGAATTGAGAGGAAAAGGTGAAACCCCCTGAGTTGAAATAAAGACAGTTTAATAGACAACACAAAGAGAAAAGGAACAACAGTAGTGTAACAATTTGTATATGAGTGATCTACAGCACAGCAGTCACCACCCTGGGCACCACTTGTCCCTGCCCCAGCTACATGATGCTCAAATCATACACCTTTCTCACCCAAAACAGCACTCTGCTTATATTCTGGGCATGGTGGTCAGTATGGTGTCAGATACCCATTGACTGATTCAGTTCAGCTATCCTGGCTGTGGCCCTTCCCAGCATCTCTTGAAAATTAACCTTATTCTAGCCAAACCCAGGGCAAGAGTAAACTTAAGAAAGTGCTTTTCAAAGCCCTTCAGAATTATATTTTCATCTTTTCAAACAAGTTATGTATTCTAAATTCTTTGTGGTCATCTCAAAGGTCTCTACTGGGTCTTACAAAAGGCAAGTCTATGAAGTGCCTTCAGGAAAACAGCTTGTGGACCAGTCCATGATAGACAGAATAACATGGGCTACTTGGACAAGGTAAACTACTCACATTTACACCCGTTAAAACACTTGGAACTTCCAGGAGAAGCACCTATTGTTTAAAAGCATATTTCATCCTCAGGTTTTGCAAAGGAAATGTTCTATGAATGTCTGTTTTGGAATCTTAAGATAATTTATGTTTTCTATTCAGGGCAATCTCTCTCTCTTCCTCCCCTCACCGCTGTACTCAAAGAAACTTTTCATCTAACTGATATAAAAATGTTACAGAATCAAGAAAACATAGTTACAGAAAGAATATACAAGTTTTTGCTTTCCAGAAGCAAATGCTTCATTTGTCAGTATTGGTATTATTGATTTCACCTCTGTTTCTTAGTGTTGTCATGGGCCATCTTATTTTGGGACTTCTGTTATGGAATCACTTTCAGAAGCAATTATGGAATCATACAAAAATTAATAACAGAGTAAAACCTATACATGGTGTGTAAGAATAAAGTGTAAAAATTAAATTTTTAGAAAACCAGTTCCAGTATGAGAGCTGCTTATTGTTTCCCTACTGTATTGTTTTTTTCTGTGGTTTTCACAAGAATCTCTTGCTCTTCTGTTTCAGCGTTCTGGGTGATGAAGTCATTGGAATCTGGTCCAGGCATGCTGAAAAAGCTGATGTAAACTGTGCCTGTGTCTCTCACTCGGGAATCAATCTTGTAACAGGCGATGATTTTGGCATGGTCAAACTGTTTGACTTTCCATGTCCTGAAAAATTTGTAAGAACTTGGTTTTGCATCATTACAACAAGTGCTGTTGATATTATGGTCTTGTATTGTTTCTGTAGAACGCGTACAATGGAAACGTTTCCTTCTCTAAACTTGTAGCTTTTTAATGCATTAGCTCTGTAGCCTGATAAGCCTGATTCACCTCAAAGTTTTCCTACCATTTTGTGCAATAGCTCTTGCTATAAGCTCTTGTAGGTGTTAATATTTGTCTGCCAGTCTACAGTAGCATAGTCCCTTCATACTGAAAATCTCATAGCCCTTGGTTTTACTTATCCACATCTCCAGTCTCCATTTGATGGATGAGAAAGACAGCTGATAATTTTAGTCCCATCTGTGTATTTCCATGGATGAAAATTTACAGATTTTTCACTAGCACTGTTAATTTTCAGACTGCACAGTGTAAACTGCTTACACACGTATAAAGAAAATGGTTTTTTTAGTGTTAGGAATTTTACACAAAATTCAGAGGTTACTCATGTGACAGGATATAGTTCATTTTATTGAGTTAGCTGGAGCACTGTTCCAAATTTGGCGACAGTGTAATCTGTGCTGCAGCTCAGCAGTAGTTCTCCTTCAAGAGATCTTTCAGGTTTGAAAACCTGTGTAACATTCTGAATGATACAAACACATGATGAAATAAAAAGGTAGATAAAAACATGCATACCTTGATTTAGGGGGGGGCAGAGTATGTAGTATCTCTCATTTTATTGTTGGGTTTTGTTTGTTTTGTTTTTTTCCAGGCAAAACACAAACGGTTTTTAGGTCACTCTGCCCATTTAACTAATATTCGATTTACAAGTGGAGACAGATATGTGGTCAGTGCTGGAGGGGATGACTGCAGGTATGTGTTCTTTCCATTCTTGTCCCAAAGTACACAGCAGTGGACTCAGACAGTCCATAACAGTATAAAGCTCAAGTTCAGTGTCTTCATCTTTTTATCTATGTGCTTGCTTTTCTGATTGTATGTAGAGGAATGGATACTTGCAACAAAATACATAGCCCAGAGGTTAATATGAACACTTAAGATTCAATAAATCGAAATATGTTTAAATCTGTATTCAGAGCATCAGAGTTTTAACTGTTTTTCTTTTGACTGTATTAGTTCTTTTAACAATGTTGTGGTCTTTTATATCTCATATCTAATAACTTTTTGAAAACACAGCTTATTTGTTTGGAAATGTGTACATATGCCTCATTGAGAGACACACGGAGACTTGCAAAGAGGACACTGCATGAAGTACCAGGCATGAAATACCCAGGACTGCAATGTGACATTCTGCTGTGCCCTGCATGCATGAGAAATGGTGCTGATGCAAGACACAGAGTGATCTGTCTCTGAAGGACAAGTACCTGGAGCCTGTCGCAAGGATGGACTGCCGTGAACACACTGAGGCCCTTCGGTTTGCTTCAGTATCGGGTCATCCGGGTTTGTATTTCACTCACTGCCAGATACTGAAAATGAAATACATGGATAAAAGGAAAAAGTGAATTGTTAATCAATGTACAGTTTCACAGTAAGATCCTGGGGTTTTAGTCAAGAGATGTTATTTCTGACCTAGTGCTGTACATTGATCTATTTTCAGCGTGAATGTTTCTCCTTTAAGTTTTGGGGTCTGGGTATCATAGGAAAAAGAGAGTATTCCATATTTTGTTACTGAAAGAAACCATATATTAAATCTTAAATATATCTTATTTTAATAAATGTTTAATTACTATAATGGAAATGATATTTCTATGACTGGTCGAAAGGAAACATCATCTGGTGAAGCAGAAAATAATAGACCTGATTCCTTAGGACTTCCTGTGTTTAGAGGCCTGGGTCACAGTCATGTCTGGTGAAAGCCATTGGATATGCATGATCTTCATGGCTAATTTAGTGTTTTTGTTGCACTTAAACATTAAATTAGTTCTGTGAGCAAAAATAGATTTGCTCACTTTGCGAGTGCCTTGCCCACAACCTAAAAGTCTAACTCCAATTTTTGCCTTGTGAATAAATGTGTTCTCAGTGGAAGAGAGATCATTGCTGTGTTACTTGACTGGCGGTTAGCTTCTATACTGGAAATGTGGACTAGGGTGAGGATTTTACTGTCTTCATAATTGATAAAGCTTGGGATGTCACCAGTTGCAAAAACAGAATTTCATAGCAATATGAATTGATTTTATTTTCTTAGCATCATAGGGGGGGGATTCAGAGAGGACATAAACGTTCCAAACATTATATTTTGTACGTTTGAACTTTTTAACAGAGGTAGGACTAGGTGGGAGAGGTCTCTACTCACATTTCTCTCCTGATTGTAAAAAATGTCTGATCATGTGCTTCTTTAAATGGACCGGCTGTCACCTCTAGCATAAGTGCATTTATTCCATCCTGCAACATAACAGAGATTCTAAGTTGAAACAAAATGTTTCAGTGATCATAGACAATTAAAACCTGAACAAAGCTGTGCTTTGGGTAGAGGTGAGAAAGATTTCATCAACCTTCTGTCTAAATCATGTCATAGAGATGCATGACATACTGAACCTCTGTTTTAATCAGTGCAGTTAATTTTCATGGAACACAGAGGGGAATAGAAGTCACTAATTATGAGCACTGCTCATAATGACATTCTGCTACAAACAAAAAGCTGTTTTTCTCTGTGTAAGCCAGCATTGCTTTAACAATGGCATTTGCTTAGGTCGGTCAGTAGGCTTTGTTATTATTCACCTCTTGCATTCTCATATGCCAGGTAAAAGTGGAAGAGAAATAAACCTTACCTCTTCTTCTAAATATCTGGAGTGCATGGTGGTTATAGATAGAATGGGAAGGCTTGAAGGAGGGGAGAAAAGTTAATGAGCCAGACTTCCGTACTCTCCTAGGTCCAGAAATGCTTGTTAAGTGCTATGCAAAGCTATTTACCCAATGATCTTAGATAATACGTATCAAGCTATAACAAAGATTTGTTTTAAAGTTGATAAATGAAACAGTTACTAGGTTTTTCATCATGATGATTCTTAGTAAAGTGTTGCCAGTCACGCAGCTGCTATTCTACAGGAGCAGAATATCTGTGGTGATGAGTGTACAGGGAGACCTTGCTGGTAACGTTTTTGACTTGAGGGGAATTGCGTGTGACAGTTGAGATTAGGCCTGATCTGTTTCATAACCTTGTTGCCTGCCTGCCTGCTTTACGTGAAAATTGCTATCTGGCATTTAAATCTTGCCTATTCCAGAGAACTCTGATGCAGTGTGCTGTTCTGTAGCTGTGGCTCTATCCCTTATTAAACACATCTCTGCAGGACTTCTGGACTTGAAGTTAAATTTGTCCTGCCTGTATTCTGAAGTTGCCTTTCAAGGTAAATGGCTGTTAAGAGCTCTCTCATAGTCCGTCCTACTCAAATTGCCAGATCAAAGTCCAAATTTTTCTGCTTCTCTGAGTTTTCCCCTCAAAATCCTAGGATCAGTGTCTCCCAGCCTTGTGATTTTCTCTAGGCCTTCACCCAGTGAAAGAGGTATGTGGACTATCAAGAGGTTTGTTCCTCGGATTCCCATCACTGGTCACATCCTCTCCTCCCTCCCCTCACCCCCTTTGTTCATACTGTGCCTCCCCACTGAGAGTTTGCCCGTTGGTGCTTTTGCCCCGGAGGCTCGCTGAGGTGCCGGCGCGAAGCTGCCTGGCGGGAGCGCTCACCGCGGCTTCACGCCCCTCCGACTCACCGATGCGGTAAAGGGCGGGCAGGGGAGCTGGAAGCTGAGGAGCTCTTGAAAAGGACAACTGCCAGCCCCGTTCCCGCGACTGCAGCCAGCGTTGCTAGCCAGCGCTGTTCCGGCCCATGGCTCTGGTTTGCCGGGTAAAACGGGCCTAGCCGGCCGGGAACACTCATCAGTGCTGAGGAGGGAGGAGAGCCTCAGGTCCAGTTTTCTTCCTGAGGGCATTTTGGAGCATATCTTGTAGGACAAGGTGCAATTCCCTGCTGAAGGGAACAGCTGGCTATTAGCATGGCTAAAGATGGCAGCTTTGTGCTTTTTTTGGTGTTTTGTCTGTGATGGTGCTTGTTCTTGTGCCTCGTTTGCTGTTTACATTAAACGCTACTGTAACCCGTGCTTGAAGCACACGTGTACAGGGACAGACTGCCTATTTTCGGTAGGCAGTGGGGGCTCGAGGCTGGTTGCTCACCAGAAAAGTCAGAGGGTGTGACATAACCCCCTAAGATAGGTCAGGGAAGAAGCTGGAGTGTGGAGGGACTTGTGACAGCCTTTCATTTGGAAGCATCAGAGAGAAGAAATGCGGGCAGGAGGTCTGTGTCTGAAAGAAAGCCTTTTCTGTGGTTATACAGCACCAAGAAAGGGGAGACAACAGTCCTTCATACAATTTAATCACTCATAGAGGATTATTTTGTACTCGGTTGTCTTTCTAACTTTTTCTGGCTAGCAGCAAGCATACATGTTTGAGATCTTTAAAGTCAGCAATTTTTTTTTTTTGTAATAAATAAATTGGAGAACTGATTCAACAAAAGTAAAATGACATTACATTTAAAATAATGTGTGCCCTTGAAAGCTATTTTAAGTGTGCTTAGAAAATAAAGAATGAGAGAAGGAAAATCCAGCTCCTAGGAGCAAATAAAAATTAAAAATAAACACATTTAGAACTGAAAGTGGCCATAGTGTAGAAAAGGCAGAACACAGTTGAGATTAGTTTAGGGAGGACAAATTAGCCAAATGTACTGAATCAGAGTTTAGATTTTTATTTTTTTATTTTTTTAATTTTTTTTTTAGTTTTGAAAGAAGCAGTCATCGTATATGACTTCCTGATTTTGATAGGGAAAGCAAGAGATGGTGTAAAACTAAAGATAAGGCATTTTAGAAAATGAAGGCTACTTTATCACTTGCTGACAGCTGAAGGAAAGCTTGCATTCAGAGTAATTTCTGACTTGGCTCTGGATCAGGGTTTCAATATTAGCAAGATCCATTTCAGAGTAACTCTGGAGTTCATGCAGATCGGGTTCATGCTGACCTGGAATTGTACCATCAGAGAGCATACACATTGCAGCCGAGTTATCTCCTGATCTGGAAACTAGATCAAAATAAAGGGTTCCAATACCAAGAGCAGGACTTCGATAGCATTCAGGAATGGCTTAGTTTAAAACCATGATCCACTTCTCTCAGCTGCTGCCTGAACCCCACCATTCGACTTGCAAGTTTGCCAAGGCAAACAGTGCCCTTCTTTCAGCAAGCCCTGAGCGTCTGCCTGCACACAGCCTCACCTGCTCTCTGGATTGCACCCAACAGTCGTCAAGTCTCCACTTGCACTTGGATTTCTCTCTAGACTATGTACTGGAGTCCTTTATTGGACTTGCTGTGCATGGTGTAGTAATGTGACAAGCAAAGGATCTGGGTTTCAAATACAGTTCTTACATGGGCAAGGTGACTTTTTCTCCTCTGGCACTATCAGTGTCACAGGTATGAGAAGCCTTTAACATTTGAAGATTATTATTTTTTTTCTAAATTCTATTAGCATAAGATACAGACAGATGCCATCTTGTCAGTGTTGTGGACAAAGCGAGTCACCCTGTAGACTCTACAGAAAGGGGAGTAAGGTTGCAAGTCACAAAATGAATTGCCACATCAGTGATTTGAGCATCACCAGCTGTAGCGTATTTGCGTGCTCCTTTGTTCTCCTGGTTTCTTAGGCACCCTTGCCATCTGCTCTGTTTCCCTAACGCTTATAGCCCCATTGGATTTTTGCTTATGTGGATAAATACACAGGCTTGCCAAAGCCTGCTGTTTGTTCTTTATACCAGTCACTGTGGTGTGGTTAGACCAAGCCCATTTCTGTGGTTGTCTCTGGCTTCTGCTCTTCAATGAACTTCAGACTTAAACTGTGCACATCTCCATTCAGGAAAAAAAAACCAAGAATAGTTCTAGGTGTATAATATGCATAAAAGTCACTATAGGTTTCCTTGCCAAAATCACTCGTAAGTACCTAAAAATTACTGTGTGGGTTTGATGGGGAGTTTTCTTCAATCTGCTTGATGGTAGAACAGGTAACCACTCACCATCCCCTTCCCAGATTACCAACAGCATATCAGTCATAACCTTGACCTGTTTTTTAACTGTTAAACCAGCAATCCAACCAATTTACTTTTTCTTTAGGCAAAAAAAAAAAAAAAATAAAAAGGCATGGAACACGTGTTCTCTTTTCCCCTTTAGTGTGGAAAACAAAAA